GGCCACCCTCTTCTGTAACTCCTCCATTTTGGCCATCATGGCCTCGTATTTGAGATCTGAATGAGGGGTGGAGGTGGTGGTGTGAGCTTTGTTGGACTCCATCTCGTCAAGCCGGCGTTGGAGGGCCGCAATAACCTCGTCCCGGGGATCCTTCGGGAGGGTCTCCGCCCCCTGCGAACGAACCCGGGCCGAGTGGGCCTGGTTGATTTGGTGCCGAGCATCATCGGTATGAAGGGGTGCCTTGCCTTTGTCCCGAGGGGGACGCTCCTCGTCTGCCCTCGAAACAGATCCCCCGCTTTCCTGGGGCCTTTGGAGTGCTTTCCCCCCGAGGCGGTCTTGGACCCCTCGGCGGTCTGGCCCTCCTCCGAGCCGGTTGAGGGCGGAATTACGGGGCCTTTCCCTGTTGTCATTATGGCGGTCCCGGGACTGAACTTCCTGGGAGGACGTATCTTGGGCCACCACCCCTTCATCGTTTCTCACCCGAGGGGTGGGATTTCCGAAGGGGTGTGGCAGAGGGGGAAGTATGATATTTTTCCCGATCGGAGGGTGAGCTGGAGCCAGGGTGCCGAAGGCACCCGGGTTCTGGGTGAGCGTCTGGATGAAGGCGGAGAGCGCCGATTGTACGTCGATGGTGAGAACCGGAGGGCTGACTTGGTCATCGCTCCGGTTTTTCTTCTTGGCCTCGATGCCGAGGCGGGCATCGGGGGCATTTTGTTGGATCTGAAGGCGTAGGTCGACAGCCACCTGTTCCAGTCCAGCGATGACACCGCCCTCGGGAGCCTTGTGAGAGGCTTCGGGGGCGTTGACGTCGCCGAGGGCCAGGTTCTTGTCTTCTACGTTCTTTGAGTTGGCACGTGTTGTCCTCACCATTTTGATAGAGGGCTAGTGTTTTGTGTTTGGTCGAGGGGGAGGGTTTCTTACTCGATTGTTCAACCTCTCAACGAGAGCACCAAATGATGGATGGTCTACCCGGGGGTATATATCCGAAGGGTTATTACGGGGAGTAATTTAGAGAGAAGTCAGAGTAAGTGAATAAAAGTAGAGAGAGAGTGTATTCAGTATGAATGCCGTTTTCAGCGTGGTTACAAATGAGGAAATGAGGTGCTATTTATAGTAGCAATAAATGCCGGGCAGGGACACGTGTCAAGCGCTCATTGGCCGAGGGGTCACCTCAACTGGTTGGCGCTGGCAGCCGCATGTGGCCGCATTTAATGCGGCTGTTGGATGGGACGTCTGTGCGGGGTACGATGATCTGTATGCATGTGAGGCGGATATTTTGTCGAGTGAGATGCCTTCGGCTATAGAGCAGTAGCCGAGGGCTCTTCCACCCGATGGCACCCTGGTGCCGAGGGCTCATAGTGCCGAGGGCTACTGTTTTCGCCGTTTTCTCCCAGTTTCTTAATTTGCTTGAGAAACCCGTTCTGTGAGAATTTAGAGCCTTCGGCCAGGGGGCCGAAGGCACCCCTGGCGCGTAGTGCGGGCTGCTTGGTACTCTGGGCGCTGTGATTTGGGCCTGTTGGGCCTTTTGGGCCTGTTGGGCCTTTGCTGGAGTAGTAGGAGTCTGTGGGCCGGGGGTTCCCGGGCCATATACTCCATCACCAATTATCAAACATCAATATTAATATTTTCATCAATTGGACCACTTATTTTTAGTCAAAGAAGCTAAATTTTGGCCGATCAGCCATTTTCCAAGAGTTGGACTTGGGGTACACACTTTTGGTGTACACACTTTTTACACATGTCTGTGTAAGGTTTTTTTTATGTCTGTACAGACATAACGTATTTTAAAAATATGTTATGTCTGTACAGACATAAAAAAAACCTTACACAGACATGTGTAAAAAGTGTGTACACCAAAAAGTGTGTACCTTTAGAATTTTTAATTTTCCAAACAACCGAAAAACTGAAAGCTTTTAAATTTAACTAAGGATCCACCAATTATTCTTGGAAAAAGTGTTATGTTCCCTTTGAACTTTGTCATCTTTACATTTTTTTTGTCTCAAAAACTTGATCACTTTTTCTTTAAAGTAATTAACTAATTTATGATTTTGTTCCCTTAACCATTTTTTTTACTCCATATTATTATTTCGCATCTAATTCAAACTGTGCAAAGTTAATGAGGTGAGGGCGGGTCAGCGACATAGCTAGTTAAATACGGCACGGGAATTAAACGAAGTTTAATATGTACGCGTTTTCAGGGCCGGCCATAGGGGGGGGGGGGGGGGGGAGTTACCCTAGACAAGTGTCTAGGGCCTCCAAATTTTAGGGGCCTCTAATTTATAAAATAAGCTTATTAATATTATTTAGGAGACTTTGTCCGGCCGTCAACATTTGGGATAGTTTCCTTTGTATTTTTTTGATGATTTTTTTTAGAATCTTATTCATTATGTCTAGTTTACTCATACCAAATTTCACCTAAAAATTCAATCGGGAAGACATTCAAATGAATTCTTGAAGATAACTGTGCAGTTAAAAGCGCAGTTATCTTCAAGAATTTATTTGAATGCCTTCCATGTTGCATTGTTAGGTGAAATTTGGTATAAGTAAACAAGACTTAATGAATACGATTCTCAAAAAAATTCATCAAAAAATTCCACCGGGAACTGTCCCAAATGGCGACGGTGGGACAAAGTCTCTTATACAAGGGCTTATTTGACCTTTTTGGTTAGTATGTGGGCTTATTTGCTCCTTTTTCCTTTTTTTTCTTTGTTGGCTAGGCCAGTAGGGCTAGGGATATAGGATAATGAGTATTCTAAATATATTTGAATGCTTATTGAATAATTGAAATTGTAATTTGTTATTTTGATTCATCGAAATATTGAACATACTTATAATTTTTTATATTTGATTAAATTTAGTGAATTAAATTTATATCTATGAACCATTAACTTATATTTAGTGATAGTATTATTTTGAATGAAATTTTATGTTTTGTGATGATTGGAAAACAAAATATGAATCAAGATGTACAAAGACAAAGAAAAAAATTAAGAAATGATTTGGTCATGAAATCACTTTCCGGCTCTATCGATCGTTATGTTGTATGTAAGCACAAAACCTTCTCCCTCTAGGGCTCTTTGTATTTTTTCATCAACTTTGATCTTCTGATTTCGAAGAATATTCTCACTGTGTTAATAGTATATGATGTATTTTATATGTAATTTACTTATATTTAATTGCTATTTTTTATATCATTGGGTTAAATAAAACATATTTAAAACAAAATTTCTACATGACCGTCTAGGGCCTCATAATTGCTCTAGCCGGCCCTGCGCGTTTTATTCGGTAACATGAATGAAAGAAGCAGTCAAATATTCATTGAAAAAATGGTGACTTTTAAAAAACGTATAAATAAGTATACGTGTATAATACGATATCTATTACAAAAATTCGAACAAAAAATACGGGGTATTAATTTGAACATTTAAATTATATACTTCACAAAATAACAAAAATTCGAACAAAAGAAACAAAAGATGGCAACAATACGTTTGAGACTCATATAGGAAATGATGAGATCCTCTCTGATCCAACGCTTGATTGCCCAGATACTACGCCTGTCCCAAACCAGTCCAGTGATGAAACATATTCTGAGGACTCTCAAATGAAATCTTTTTCTGTTTCAGGTCATGAAGGTAATCATACAATGATGAAGAAAATCTTGAAGGTTTTGCACAGGTTACAAGAAGAAGGAGCAAAACAATATCAATGAACACACCTAACGAAGTCACAGAAGACGAATAACTATACTACGAGGTGGGATACTCATCTCATCCCATGATCACCAGAAGCCAATCAAAAAGACCTCAGAATGAAACAAACTACTTTCTCTACCCAGTTGACGAGAGGTTCGACTCACCTCAAAAACTAGCAATAGCTCTCCAGCGTTTCAGGTTATCTCGTCCGGAAGAAACAACATTCAGGTCTTATCTTAAGAAGGTCATCAGGTTTCACAACAAATATAACAGATCGATTTCTGCTTCTTTTGGGATTACCTCAGAAAATTTCAATTGTTAATGCACCTTTTCTTGTTTCTTTCATTTGTATTGTTCTTTATATTTCACAAAATGTTTGCTCAAACTCTTGTGCTAAAATCTTTATTTTAATAAATTAGGGAGGTGTTCCCCGACACTCCCACCTCGTGTGGCCTTAACCGGGAAATAAAAGAAATAAAAGTATACACATATTCAAGTAGCAAATCATATTATTACTATATAAAAGAATAATTCGTTTTTGCATAAGTCGATCATAAAAATAAAAATAGTAATAAGTCCAAGACATAGTTTTGCAAAAAAAAGACACAATAACAATTGAATGAGACTAAACTAAAATCATTATCTTTATATGATCATCAAATAAGATTAAAGTTAAACCCATCATTTTCATCAAGATAACGGGTGACATATGAGAAAAATTGTGCGACTACTACGCTTATTACTATTTATGTGTAAAAGTTTATACTAAAAAATGCCAGATTTAGAAAATCTTAATTTGATATGCTTGTTTGGAAAAACATCAAAAATTTAGTTGTATTTTAAGTTTTTAGTCTTTTAGGATGTTAGCTTTAGCTGTCATGTAATTAATTTTAGTATTTTAATAATTGTATTGTAACAATACAAACACACGGGGTCACAAGAAAGAGGTTTTCCTTTTTACTTTTAATTGTTGATCTCCTATGCATTTAATAAATTCATTCAATTGATCAAATAATTTTTCTATTTTTTGTAAAATACGGAAAAAATACATTTTATACTGGAAGCAAGATTTTTTTTCCTTTTTAAACGAACTGGCATTATTTTTTGATTTAAATGTCTTTTTTACTCAAAAAAACGGTAGGCTTTTACAAGGCAGAAAAGCTAACTCGGGTCTGTGGCAGGCAATCCATCCATTGACTCATCACTGCGCATTTCTCGTGACACTAATGTCATTGAATGCTAGAGTGGTTCTGCCTACTACTAACAGTTTAGTTTACTGTGCATCTTTTACGACACATATCAATGAATGGGTAGTAGGCTTTGCAAAGGGCAATATCAATAGATTCCCCCCCTCTCTCTCAATCAAGAGTTCAAGACAGAGGAAAAAGAAAGAAAAACACCTGACCCACGAAAGCAGTTGCCCAAACATTCACACTCTTGTTTGTTCCCAGGGAAATGTTACATTCCATTCTTCTTTTGCCCCTACAACCTTTCAACTTCTAGTTTTCCCATCTTATATTTTCTTCCCCGTAGCCTCTGCAAATCTCATGTTCATGCCCATGCTCCTGTTTATGTTCTTTCTGGCACCTGTGTCCTAGTCTTTGTTGTCTTCCTTTGTCTCTATGGACACGAGGCTTCTGTCAGGTATTGTATTCCTCACAAATTTCTTGATTTTGACCTTCATTTCCAAAAGATTACTATAAAAGAACCCCAAACTGCCAAAGATTGAACTTCACTGTCCCAACTTCCCTTCTTTTTCTACCGAAGTTTGACCGGTAAGTAAAGTTTTATCCATAGCATTAATACCCACACCAAAAAAAAAGGAAGGAGAGAAAGTCTGGGTCTAGGTTATTCTTGATTTATGTTGCTTTGGCCATTTCTATATTGGGAAGGTTAGGTTTCTTGAAATTAAACGCTAAAAATGGAATCTTTGAGGTTGTTTTGTGTTGTGTTACTTGGGTTAGTAGCAATGTCTGCCGATTCCCTAAAAGACCATACCATACTGCTATCAATTGGGAAAGAGCTAGCAATACCATGGTGGGAATCCAACGGCCCAGATTTCTGCTCTTGGAAAGGCATTGGATGCAGCTCAAACCAATCATCGGTGGAGATTCTTGATCTTTCTGACTCAAGGTTACAAGGTAACATTTCTTTAATATCCGAGCTCAAAGCATTGAAGTGGCTGGACCTTTCTGGTAATAACTTCCATGGATCAATCCCACCTTCTTTCGGTAGCTTACCTCATCTTGAATTTCTTGACTTGTCGTTCAATAATTTTGAGAATTCCATCCCTAAAGAACTCGGTAGCCTCAGACACCTTAAAACACTGAACATCTCCAACAACATGCTCTCTGGATCACTACCTGATGAACTTAAGGGGCTAGGTGGTCTTTCAGATCTTCAAATATGGGCTAATAAGTTGAACGGTTCTATACCTATGTGGGTTGGGAATTTGACCAGCTTGAGAGTCTTCGCTGCGTATGAGAACCAATTTACTGGTCCCATTCCAGAAAACTTAGGCTTAAATTCTTTGCTAATGTCTTTAAACCTTCACTCAAACCATATTCAAGGGATGATTCCAGATTCTCTCTTTGCAATGGGGAAACTAGAGGCTTTGGTTCTCACCCAGAATCGGTTGGTTGGAAACATACCTGAATCGATCGGTAAGTGCAAAGGCCTATCGAGCGTTAGGATCGGGTATAACCAACTTGTAGGATTGGTTCCCAAATCGGTCGGTGACATCGTCAGCCTTACTTACTTTGAAGTGGACAACAACAATCTCTCTGGGGAGATCCTCCCAGAGTTTGCGCAGTGCACTAACCTCACTCTCCTCAATTTGGCCTCAAACGGATTCACCGGAACTATACCTCAAGAGTTTGGGAAACTCACCAACCTCCAAGAGTTGATTCTTTCAGGAAATGCCCTTTACGGTGAAATCCTGACAGGGGCAAAGAATCTGAACAAGCTGGACTTGAGCAATAACCGATTCAACGAAACCATACCACAAGACATATGCAAAACTTCGAGATTGCAATATCTACTGCTGAGTCAGAACTCAATAAGAGGAGAGATACCAAATGGTATAGGGAATTGCGTGAAGTTACTTGAATTGCAAATGGGGAGAAATTACCTTTCTGGAAACATCCCTCCTGAGATAGGTCATATGAAGAGCTTGCAAATTTCTTTGAATTTAAGCCACAACCATCTCCATGGAGAGTTGCCCTGGGAATTAGGAAAACTGGACAAGTTAGTTTCTTTGGATGTGTCAAACAATCAGATCTCAGGGAACATTCCAGCGGAACTGAAGGGCATGTTAAGTTTGATAGATGTCAATTTTTCAAACAATCGGTTAACCGGACCAATTCCAATTTTCGTGCCACTCCAGAAAAGCTCAAACACAAGCTTTCTTGGAAACAAAGGCCTCTGTGGCAATCCTTTGAGCAGTTCATGTGGAAACGTCAATGGGTACTACTACAACAATCATCATAGGGTTTCATACCGGATCATATTGGTGGTTATCGGTTCCGGTTTGGCAGTTTTCTTATCTGTGGCTATAGTTGTTGTGTTATTTATGATAAGGGAGAGAGAAGAAAAGGTTGGAAAATCAGAGGGGGGTGAAAAAATATGTAGTAAGCCAGTGATGGTTGCCGGGAACATTTTCGTTGAGAATCTCAAGCAAGCTATAGATTTCGATGAGGTTGTGAGAGCATCTGTGAAAGATTCAAATAAGGTTAGTGTTAGTACATTTAGTACTGTGTTCAGAGCGGATATGCCTTCCGGTTTGATTTTATCCGTTAAGAGGCTAAAGTCAATGGACAAAACGGTTTTACAATACCAAAGCAAGATAATCCGCGAGCTTGAGAAACTGAGCAAGCTCTGCCATGAAAATCTGTTGAGACCTGTTGGGTTCGCCATCTATGAAGATAACGTTCTTCTCTTGCACCAATACTTCCCAAACGGGACTTTGGCGCAGTTTCTTCATGAGTATGTAAGGGGACCTGAAGAACTTAAATCTGAGTGGCCAAGAAGACTGTCTATTGCTATTGGGGTGGCAGAAGGGTTGGCTTTCCTTCATCATGTGGCAATTATTCACCTGGATATTTCTTCTGGGAATGTGGTTTTGGATTCAAATTTCAGGGCTTTGGTTGGTGAAGTTGAAATCTCTCGGCTTCTTGACCCTTCCAGGGGAACTGCAAGCATCAGTGCTGTTGCTGGATCATTTGGTTATATTCCTCCAGGTACTTTCCTTCTTGAAATGCTTAAGGTGTTTGACACTTCGGTGGGGTTTCTGTCTTATATCTTTTTACTGTTTCGTCCACTTAAACATAAAACAGAGAAACGATGAATGTGTTTGACTGAAAGCAAACCGTTGAGTTTGTAACTAGCTTGCGAGCATGAATTTGATGTTTTGAATGTTTTTTATATTTCGACACTGTTTATAGGACTTTTTTATATTATAAAAAATCATTTTTAATGATAAGTAAAATAAACCACATATAGAAAGCATGACAAGCGCACATGTTTATGTACATGCACCCTCCATCTCAAAACAATAGTTACTCCCTCCGTCCGATACTGTAAGATACATGTGTTTGGTGCGGGTTTTATGAAAATAAAGGTTAAAATGGTTGTTTTACAGTTTTAACCTTAAAAAAGTTAAGAAAAAGTTAGACGAGTCCACAAAAAGTAAATGGTGAAATGATAGATAGAGGGATAAAGTTCGTGGAGTTCAATTTAGGAAACTGTTCATATTTTTGGAGCAATCCAAAAAAGAAAGTGTATCTTACAAAATGGGATGGAGGAAGTACATGTTCCCTTTTTGGTTGTCCCAAAATAAAGGTTACACTTCCTTTTTGGCAAATGATCTCACATACAGTTCATATTTTAGTCTCCCGTTTTAACTAAATCTACACCTTTGTCTTCTAACTTTACTTACTTTTCACTGCTACACAAAGTATCGGGTGGTCTAGGCTTTTTATCCCACTATTAATCTACGTTCCCAAAAGTTTTGTGTGTATGAGTATTATTTTGGGGCGGAGGTAGTACTTTTTTTGAGAAACAAAACAAAATAGTTTTTTGGATGGAGGATTCTTAAGAATTTTTGGAGGGCCAGATCTTTATTTTAATATATATCTATATGTACATTTGACATTTTACAAAAAAAAATGAAGTTATAACATAATAAGTGATCATACAAGCATTTGAATCAACATCTATTATAAAAAAAAAGATTAAGGCCTCCAAAGACTTGTACTCCAAAACCCTCCATCCAAATTGATTTTCTATAAAAATGATATATTTCCATAATAAATCATGATCACATAAACAAAACAAATGAAAGTAAAAAACAATCTAAAGAGCAGGAAATGTTACCAAAGTAACCAAACAAGTGTACAGGAACTTTGGAGAGTATCAGTGTATCATGTAGCCTTTCTTCTGTTTCAAATCCTTCTATTATTATGCTTAAGGGCATCTCTCTATGTGCAGAATATGCATACACAATGCAAGTAACAGTACCCGGGAACGTGTACAGTTTTGGGGTGGTCTTGCTTGAGATACTGACAGCTAGACTGCCCGTTGATGAAGCATTTGGGGAAGGAATGGATTTAGTGAAATGGGTCCACGGTGCATCTGCTAGAGGTGAAACACCAGAGCAGATTCTGGATGCCACACTTAGTACCGTTTCTTTTGGTTGGAGGAAAGAAATGCTAGCAGCATTGAAGGTTGCATTAGTCTGTACAGACACCACACCTGCAAAACGGCCCAAGATGAAGAAGGTGGTTGAAATGCTTAGAGAAATCACAGAGATTTGATGGAAAGAAATAATTTATATTATTATGCGTTGATTCTTAATCCCATGGGGGATTTCCTGAATTGCCCAATGTGGGGGTTATTATGAGACAATGGTGGAAGAAAAAAAGTTGCTCATCTCAATTGTGAAGCAAAGTTATGAATGTGAATATGTAATGGTGTAGCTTTTCTTCCATGATTGTGAGTTATCTCTTCTCCATGTTTCCTTAGCCATTAGGCTTCTTGTTGAGGTACAAATGAAGTTATGAGAAAGTAAAACCTCATCATAAAATTGAGTGGTAAGAATAAAGTTAGCTCATGCGATCATATAAGGAGTCATATGTTACTATTTTTGTAGGCATAGTCACGATGAAATGTGTGAACATTGGCAAGGTCTTTTCATAAACTTTGGAATGAAAAGAAGGAAAAACAGTTCGATGGAAACATTTATCACATTTTAGCATCACCTACACAGTTACACCAACACAAGATAAATAGTTCAAGGAATACTGCTTTCTGTACATAGTACAACAGTCGTTGGATAGTGTTTATGGAAGTATTTTTAGATTTTTTATCACTTTTGAGAAGTTACAATCTTTGAGAGAGTTGAACATGCAACCTTGTTACACTCGTTTGGAAGCAGTTCTTAAGAGCAATTTGATTAGAATATTGAGCTGAAAGTAATTAGAGCATTTCCAATCCAACATTGTTCCAACCATAGTTTGGAAATACAATACACCCAAAAATAAATTAATAAAATTTCTCTATGAGAAACATATTACACCCAAAATAAATCAATAAATTTTCTCTCTTTTAGTGACATATTTTTAGTTACTTTTTATCAACAAAGTCAATATCCAAATGTTGTGGACATTTTTTACCAAAAAAGGAAAGGCCGTTTAAATATGGAAAACAATGTTCTATCACTTCTATATATTGAGAGTAATTCTTATGTGTCTATCTATCTCACGTCACTTGTGCACCGTTCATATTTTCACATTGAAGATGCTCTTAGAGAGATTTGCCATAACGTGGGTGGAAGGGTAAAGAGGTTTTAAATTCCTTGGAAGAGTTGAACTCCTTTTCAAATGCTCTAATTCTATATAGAAAATTATTCATTGTTCCTGTAACTTTGCCTCAAAGTCAAAATTGATGAATTCTCAGTTACGATCAAGTAGGAAGTATGTCACAAGAGTGACTCAATAGGGTGAGGTTGATATCAATAGAAATTGAAACGTTGGAAGAAATTGTCATTGAAAGTTCGATAAAGAAATTTGCATATCTAAATGTATGTGTAAGAAGAATATCTCTTTATGAAGAATTAAAAATACTATTGGTACACATTTTTTGGGGCACACACTTTTACACACTGTCTGTGCATGCATTTTTTTATCTGTACAGACGAAAACGCGTTTTGTCTGTACAGACAAAAAAATGCATGCACAGACAGTGTGTAAAAGTGTGTATCCCAAGTCCAACTCATGAATAATTTTATTATGACACAAATAATCAATATACCCCATACTATATTATAAATGATATAAGGAATGCATGATTTACTTGGGATGTCTCAGCCTCGCTTGATTATTAATGATAGGTAGAAGCTAATGCTCCTATGATTTTACAAAAAACAAACTTATAGTATACTCCGTACTATTATGACTTATATTTGAACTTGTATTGACTCATGTTTTTTAGAGAGTATTCTATAATAAATAGCACTTTTGCACAATATTAGTTTTTAGAGTAAATTGCATAAATGGTCCCTAAACTATTATCACCATATCATTTTGATTCTTCAACTAATAAATCTATCATTTTAGTCTTTATTCTATTTGATGCATTTTAATTCAGTCCTTCAGTTTCATTTGGCCGTTTACATTAACAGTGGTCAAACTTACAATATTTATAAATTGTTATAACACCCATCCTAACTAAATAATTCCTCTTTGGCCAAAAAACTAGGATCAATACTAAAAAGTGACAAAATTGCACAAATAGGATTACTAAAAATGTTGGCGGATTTCTCCAGTGATGGGAGCTAGTTATGGTGGGGGTGGCAAAGGCATCAGTGTTTTTTTTACGTTTTTTTATTTTTTATTTTTATTTTGTTAATTTTTCTTTAAAAAAAAATTATTTTATAAATATTTTATTCATTTTTATTATCTTTAACGATTTTTATTATTTTTTATGATTTTATTATTAATTACTCCCTCAGTTCCCCTTATATTGTCCCGTTTTACATTTTTGGGAAGTCTCACTAAAATTGTCTCATGCCATATTTGGTAAAGTTTGTGTGACTCTAAATCATTCTTACTTTATTCTTACTTTATCAATTAATATCAACCTCACAACCCACTTTTCTTAAAAACCGTGTCACCCTCTTCTGTACGTCCCTATATAAAAGGGACGGAGGTAGTAAAACATTTCAAAAGCTACAAGGATATATTTGTCCAAACACGCATAAATAGTCCTATTAGGGGAATTTAAAAAATGTAATCCTATTTATGCAATTTTGTCACTTTTTAGTCCTATTTAGGTAATTGACCCTAGTTTTTTTTGGCCAAAGGGGAATTATTTAGTTAAGGGTGAGTCTTACAACAATTTATAAATATTGTATGTTTGACCACCGTTAATGTAACGGCCAAATGAAGCAGGAGGACTGGATTAAAATGCATCAAATAGAATAAGGACTAAAATAATAGATTTATTAGTTGAAGGACCAAAACAATATGATGATGATAGTTTATGGACCATTTATGCAATTTACTCTAGTTTTTATTCACATAGATAATCTAAAATAATCACATCATAGATTTAGAAGGTGTTTGGAATTGGTTCTACTTTTGCCTCATTTTTAAAAGCAGAAAGTAGAATCAGAATCAGTTTTCAGAAGTTGATATCCTCAACTTTTAAAAAATAGTTTGTAGGAGCAATTTTCATCATTCCAAAACACTTATGCACTTTTACCCAAACAATCACATATATGCTTCTTCCCCTTGAAAAAGCAGAAACAGTTTCAAAAGGCATATCCAAACGCTCCCGAAAATTTTAAAGATTCACATAGAACTCTTTTTATAGAATGATATTAGTATATGAGGCTTTATAATAATTATTATAAATATTTAAGGAATCATAATAATTTTATAGTGACACTTCACTGTGAATATGGGTGATGAAACAAGTCAAATTATAGGATTTCATATGTGCCTCAATCTTTCTGTTGACACAAACTATACACGAATGAATAGGTGAAGTCAAAATAGGGTCGGTTGATATTCTGATGCACAGCTTCATGTACAAAATAAGACCCTTATGAACTTATTTCTGTCTTCTAATAGAATGTTATTAGGCATATTTGTTTCCTGGTATGTGTTAAACTCCTTTACTATAAATATATAAGTCAGGACTCCTATTGGTACCTTTTCCCATTAATTCTTACATGGTATCAAGAGCTTAAAGAAAACCCTATTTTTTTCTCTTCACTTCACCGATCCACGTCGGCGACGCCATGTCTGAGGACCTCCACTCCACGGCACCGCAGACCACCACGAACACGCTGCCGCTGCACTCCTCCACGCAGGACGTCGGGCACTCCACAGCTTCTGGTTCGTCTTCCACAGTTCTTCATGCCGTTTCCTAGCCGATCATCTCTCCTCCGGTGGGAATCGTCACCAGGCCGCTAACTCCCTTAGACCACATGGCGTCCTCTTCCTTCTCGCCATATACTACGGCACAACCCTACTCTCTCAACTCGCTATTGCCCCAATTCCCGTGGCAGACCATGCGGCACTCGATTCCTCCGGCCAGTGCTCACCCCCAGCCGAATACACCACCGACTTCTCCATTCTGTGGTCCATCGTTTGTTGGCTTCCCGACGTCATTCGGCCACAACATGATACTCCTCTTTTTGGTTCTCCTATTGCAGCCATGGCTCAAGCCGTGTCTCATGGGATTCTAATGTTGGTCAGATTGTCACCATCAAACTCAAAGCGATTGAAGACTATCTTACATGGCGCACTCAATTTGAATCGTTTCTGGCGTCCCAGGATCTTTTTGGTATTTTAGACGGCGCAATTCAGGTACCTCCCTTATACACAGTGGATTTTAATAATCATCAAGTCGTTAATACTAATTATAATTGGCTTCGAGTAGATCAAACAATATGTTCTTGGTTGTTTGCTACTTTATCTCGTGAAGTATTAACTGACGTTCATGATATTAAACATTCACTTGGTATATGGGAGCGGTTACAATCACGATTTATGTCTGCCAGTTTACCTAGAGCAATGGAACTTAAACGTTTATTGTCTAATACTAAAAAGAAACCCACTCAATCCATGAAGCATTATTTACGTGAAATTAAAAATCTGTCTGGTGCTTTAGCTGCGATTAATTCGCCTGTGACTGATAAAGAATTACTACAAAGCACGCTCCTTGGATTAGGACCTGAGTATCAATTTATTACAGGCACCATATCTTTGTTTCTTGAGAGCTTTCCCCCTGATGTTCTCCACCCACGCCTCATGGAAGCCGAGCAGCACCTTCTGCATCAGCAGCAACAAGACAATTCCTAGCCTCAACAGGCTTTTGGTGCTCAAGTGGGGGCCGGGCAGCCGAGTCAGCCGAATGCTTACCGTGGCCGCGGAGGTCGCGGCAGAGGCGGCTGAGGCCGCGGGGATCGCGGTAGAGGGGGACGACATCAGCAGCAGCCGTCTTATGCGCCACCAGCAGCTCCGGCGCCCTTCCATCAGCCAGGGCCGAGACCTGCAGGGGGTGTGCATGCCCCGAGACCTCCTAATAATGCATCTGGTAAATTGGTTTTGTCCAATTTAAATATTAATGCTCATTATACTTCTAGTACTAACTTCCATTATGCAGGTTTCCCATCAGCTAAGGGTATTCTTCGTTCTGTTCCTTCCCTAATTGTGTGTCAAATTTGTTTCTCTGCCGATTTCTCTGCGTTGCACTGTCCGTCCCGTTTTTTACATACCTCTGCGCCTGCTTTGATTACTCCAAGTGGGGAATCAAACGAAGTTTTGTGGTATACAGGACAAGACTACTATTGGAGTACATTTTCCCATTAATCCTCACATTTTCTAAGGCCCATTTGCAACACAAAAAAATGAAGGGAAAGAAATTAAGGGGATCAGGATAGTACACAGGAACCTTGGAAAAAGTATTAGTTCAAACCCAATCAATTTAACTTTATATTTTATAATTCATTTTTATTTATTTGTTTATATCGTATTACATTTTTTTTGAAAAAATGAGCACTTTCATTTTCCAAAGAAAATCAGTAAGCGGTCGTGTACCTAACTAGGGTTTTCTTCCGCCATTCTTGTGCGCATTTCCTCTTCGACAGCCCCGCATCACCTATATGGCGGTGATCGTGAACAAGGCGAGGGTAGGCGGATTGCGGTTGGATGGGGATGAGATAGTTTGAAAAAGTTGATCGGGCATTGCGATGGTTTGGAAATCAAGACTAAGGATGACGAACTGGTGCTCGATGAGGAGGACGCTATGGACCGCATGGAGCAGACATTTCCGGAGTCTCGTTCCCCTCCTGAGTCGCCACCATGGAGTGCAAGAGAGTCTAGGGTTTGGAAGAAGATGAGTGAACTCTGTTTTAATTCTGTTTTATTTTATTTTTGTTTTTCTTTCGAACTACATGTTGTTTTGGGTGTGTTTTTATTTCCTAGCAGAAGAACTCTAGAATTTAGAGCATGTGATGAGAAGTCTGGTTTGCCTGTCATTGACTCTGTTAAGCTCATTACAGGATCAACGAATCTAAATTCTTCCACAAAGGTGATGAATTCTAAGTCTGATTCAAGGATGGACGACAAACAGAAGGTTTTTTTTCGATTTGTACTCCACTTATGTTTGGTTATCTTAATATAAGCCACTTTCGTTCAAAAAAATCCAAACGTTAAAAACTATAGTTTTCTACTTTTCTTCCACGTCTTCTTTCATTTTCCTAGTTTTTTCTTGGATAAGAAAAATCGGATGATACATTTATGGGTGAAATGCACAAGTGATGCTTTAACTATCGGTATAGTTGGATTTTGGTACCATAATTATATGCAAGTATTTTAATCGGCAATACAATTCAAAATTCCGGCAAAAATCCTACGTGCTGATCAAAATTCAATGCGTAGAGTCCGCATCAGTCCATCCTACGGTGATGACATGGACAAAAGTAACATAATGTACACTTTACCCATAAAATGCACTTTACACAAGGAATTCTAACCGTTAGATATAATCTTTTGGCTGAAAAATTGAAAATATTGTCCATTAAACATTTATGTGTAGTCATGGTACCAATTTGATTCATTTAAAAATTAAGGTATCAAAATACAACACTAACAATATTTAAGATACTACATTTATACAATTCCACTTTGTTAATAAGGGTGAAAATACAAAGCGGAAATCTTATTTTTTATGCTCTGTATATAATTTGGAGAAAGTAAAACCAAATCGGGCAAATCAAAACTTTCTTGGTCACCCCACTAAAAAGCAAAGGAAAAAACTTTCTTGACATCCATGTGTAAACTGTAAAGTATGGAATCTTAACGAAAACAGTTTACCAGATGTCATGGGTTTTAACACTATCATAGTTTACCAAAACAGTTTCATGACTATCGTCTTACGACATCAGATTTGCATCTAAAATGATCCAAAAAAAAAAAACAGATTCTAAGTTACATTGATTCAGCTATCTTAATTCAGCGCATATATGTTCAAGTTCTAATTTTAACACTATAGCAATTACATGGCAATCTTCTATATCTTGAATTTTTACTTAGCACTGATTCGTATTAACCTAACAAACAATTCATTCATTATCAATCTCAAATTCCAGAAGAAAACTCAGTTAAAGTGTTAAACCAACAAATAAATTTGATTTTTTAAAAAATACAAGTATGATTCAAGATTTTTTACAGTTTGGTTCACTTGACATAACTATAGAGTTTACGTTATTTCATCCAAAAAATAGAGTTCGAGTTATTATGCATAGCCAAAGGAGCATCAAGGTTGACTGTTAAGGCTAAATACACACTAAACTTTTGGCCAACATGAATGCACCAACCCTCCTCCGTGTCCATTTCGCATGAGATTCAACAAGGTACGCAGATAATCATTTCATTTCATTTTCATTTACCCCAGTGCCGAAAAGGCTCCCACCTACGGTGGGGTAAGGGGGGGTCGGATGTACGCAGTCTTACCCCTGTACTAAAGCAAAGCACAGAGAGACTGTTTCCGGATGACCCATAGTGAAAATCCCGTCCAAAATTGCATGGACTGACTGCTGCTTCATAACAAAGAAGCGCAGACAGTTTAGTGAGCCATTTTGCTTTATTCCATCATAATCTCAAGCCAAAAAACAATGAATCTTTGGCTCCATTGCAAATGATGGAAGAAGGTACGCAGATAATCCACCAACAAAATATATGCATAGACTTCTTTTTGAGAAACTGAGGTATATGTCTATCATCTTAGTTTTATGCGCCACATTTTTGTATATGCTATTAGCAAGACAAGAATATGCCTTTTGACCTAAATATAAAAAGATAGTGAATTTATCCTAAAATTTGAAATTTCATTGTAGGTAGTGACAAGTATGATAAAGAACAAGGATGAACACTTACTAGGGAAAATAGAAAGCAAAATAAAGAGAAACAAGAAAGAGAAAAATCAAGGGAAATACCGGTATGGAGAAGGTGAAGGATGAGAGATGGAGATGAAATATGCAGGTTGCTGCAATCTGCGAGATGGACTGTCCGCAACTCGATCTTCACTTGACCGCCGTAGAAGAGGTTAGCGAAGAACAGCCGTAGAACAGGTTAGCGAGGAAGGGAACGAGGGTTAAAAAAGAGATAGGGGGTACATATGTATGTCTGATTGTGTGAATGGTAAAGAGTGTTGAATTTGAGCTGAACCAATAAAATCGTTTGAGCGAATAAGTCATGTTTTAAATTAAGTCCTAAGTAAACACGAATATATAGCTGTCCGAATAAGTCACAGTTTTCATTCAGACCATTAAGTCAAAAGTAAACGACCCCTAAGAAATAACCATGCTCAGCATGGAGTTCATGCAAATATCAGATGCTGAGGATACCACACACTTTCTCTGTCATAGTGAGCAAATTTGCATTCAACATCTCTCAATTAACGGTTTTTTGGGACCCTCCATCATTTTCTTTATAAGTTAATAATCAATATCCCATAGTAAGCCTTTTTTAGGAGTCCAAAGAATGCAAACTCCAATTATGTTCCTTTGCTTTCAAATTACTGTTGCATATGTTTTTATTTTAATACACTAATTGTTACATCGATCCAGTGAATTTGATGTTTTTGGGTAAACAAAAAGAGGGTATCAACATTCTCATATCAGGCCAAGTCCACAAGGTAAAAACAGCAACTTATCTCCTCCTCCTCCTCCTCACTGTTGTCATTGGACCAAACTGACACTTGATGCAGCAGAAGCATAAAAAAAACCTTTCATGCTGAGTTTATCATCAAAGCCATGTGTGGAGTTGGGATAACCTGTATCAATCTGCATCACTTAATTATTTTAGCTACAAATATAAGTAGTACTCCCTCAGTCCCAATTTGTAAGATACATTTACTATTTACTTGATCAACATAAATCACTCTTAATCTTTTACTTAATATATCAAAAGTTTATGATTTTGAATTATTTTTTGCAAGCTTTGTAGCGGTTTTAATGTAATTTCTGAATATGTAAATTTCATTTTCTAAAACTAATCTGAGTGTTAACAGGGATCAATTTGCTTTATCGTTAGTCAAACATCGTAAACCGTAAAGTATCATACAATTTGGGACAGAGGGAGTATGTTTTTTAGAGTACTACATTAATCATCATTCATCATTTTCATTTTCATTTACCCCAGTGCCGCAAAGGCTCCCACCTACGGTGGGGTAACGGGGGTCGGATGTACACAGTCTTACCCCTGTACTAAAGCACATAGAGACTGTTTCCGGATGACCCATTGTGAAAATCGCGTCCAAAATTGCATGGACGACTGCCGCTCCATAACAAAGAAGCGCAGACAGTTTAGTGAGCCATTTTGCTTTATTCCATCATAATCTCAAGCCAAAGAATAATGAATCTTTGGCTCCATTGCAAATGATGGAAATAGAGTACTACATTAATGGTCTAAACAATTACCCTTTTATATGCGTGGCTATTTTACATTAAAAAATCTCAGTTTCGAGATATCAGCAACCAGCTGCTTTTAAGAAATTGTCAAATGGGCTCAATGCAGGAAGCCTTAACGACTCGGGATGTTGTTGCTGGAATTCAGTGCTACACAGTCGAAATGGAACATTATCAGCGAATGGTGTGACTGGAATTATTGCCAGATTCTGGGCCTGGAATGTGTTTCTAGCCTGTTTTCATATGGACCACAGCACTTGGTTAGGAAGAGAATATATATGTTTCACTCAACAGAATCATTGTAACGAGTCAAGTGTCAGCAGATGTACTTCGCTAAAAGCCTAAAACATAATGAAGTGCAGTTCATGTCTGGTAAGTGTGCTTTTCCTACTTATTCGTCGTACCTTTTGACCAAACAATAACTTACATTGACTGCAATGGCATATATAATGAAAATATACAGTGCAAAAAAATCCCTCCATTCCATTGAAAGGTTCCCACTTTCCTTTTTTGGACATCCCATATAAAGGTTCTCATTTCCATTTTAGGAAACAATTAACAATCTTAAATAACAAATTAATCATTAAATATTAAAAATAATACGGAGTACATTTATAACATCACAGTTATCAACACTAACCTCATTATATTATACACCTATTAAAGTTGTTTCTCAAAATATACTCGAACTACCTTATTTGATTTTGGACACATTGTACATGTTACTTTCTTTGGGTGATAATATATATTTATAGTTCATCCAAAAAAAATCATCATTACCCCAGTGCTGCAAAGGCTCCCAACTACGGTGGGGCAAGGGGAGGTCGGATGTATGCAACCTTACCCCGTTATTTTTGAGATATTAGCATTTAATTCATTCTTGAAAATACTTGTTCTCGGTGCAATTTTAAATAACTCAACTTGTTCAACATACTAATTATTAAACGATTTCAACCAAGATAACCTTATGGAAGGGGCTCGTCATGTAAATAACTAAATATGTAATGTAATCAAAATGAAAAACAAGTATTATCTGACATTTCAACTGTAATGTAAATTGCAAGAGAATATATTATCTGACATTTCACAAGAGCCAAACAAGTGAAAAACATGTCTTTAGCTAAATAACTCAACTTGCTCACAAAATTCAGTCATTTCAGTTAAAATTTCAACAAATTCATCTCATCTTGTCATTTTATCAAACTTTACCCTTGCTAAAGAGTCATAATTTAAAGTAATCGAATGCATGTATAATGGAAATTGAGGCTGAAAATATACTTGGCTACACTAATAAGCGCAGAGAAAATGAAAAAAAAAATGCGGCACTTGTTGCAAGTAAGCATGCATAAAACGTGTATCAGGCAAGTCCACTACTGACCTGGTTCTCTGAATCTTCAATTATATTCCCCTCATCAGCTTGTTCTGAAGTTCGGCTTATACAAATTTCGTGCCTTTGCTGGATGCTCATCAAAGTTAGCATCTTCTCCTTCTTTCCAGCTAGGTGTGCATCACAATGATTTGCCAACTCATTGAAAGAATAACAAGGCGAAGTCCCCATGGTGGTTTTTCCTACTCGTGCAGCACTATGCATAGCCTACGCACAAAAAGCATATCATTTGAACTTCATGTGAACACTGTAAACCTATAAGTGAAGTTTTTTCAGGGACGGAGGTAATATCATTCGTGTATTGTTGAGTAACCGATATTGGTTGTATATACGGGTATGAAGCTAGTATATAAGGCTAAGTTTGGGAAGAAAGAAAATAAAGAGGTAACCCATGGAAAGGAAATCACTTCACTTTGATCGAAAGGAAGAAAAAAACAAAAAGTAAAGACACTGTTCGTTTGGTTTGGGCCTTTTGCTTTGACACACATAAGCCTAACACTTAGGACAGGACTCTGCGGAGAGTTTTTAAAACAGATGGTTTGACACAGAACATAGGAAGACATTTTTATTTCCAGAAATTAAGCTGGTACCGTAACTGCACTTGATGCATCATATGTTTGTTACCAACACTATAACTGTTAGCTATATACCTTTGTAATAGACTAGAAACTCTATGATGTAATAGTCTACTGTACATAGTTAGTTAGTATCTCTGTTAGTTGTTAAGTCAGTTTGACTCAACTAATCTCTATAAATACCCTGTAACCCAAATCAGTTGATAATAATATCTTTCTGTTAGCTCATTATATCTCTCTCTCTCGTTAGTTTAATATGGTATCAGAGCTCTAGCTCGATCCATTAATGGCGATCTCAGAAAGTGTATCAAATTCTTCAACATCTGCAAATCCGACGTCTCTGGTGACCTTCGTACATCCACTTCCACTCAAACTTGATGTCAACAATTTCATTTTCTGGAAACACCATGTCGAATCAGTAATCCGAGCGCATAAGTTGCTTCGATTCATCGTTAAACCAGTGATTCCAAAACAATTTCTCTCTGATGATGATGAAACAGCAGGAATTGTCAACGAAGCATATGCTACTTGGGAGCAACAAGACCAGATGTTGTTTTCGTGGTTACTCGCTTCGTTCTCAGAAGCGCTTCACGCTCGTGTGATCCATTGAAGACATTCTCATGAACTCTGGAGTGAAATCACCACCTTCTTTCAATCAAGCATCATAGCGAAGGCTAGACAGCTCAAATCTGAGCTATATAATACTGCGAAAGGTAATCGCTCCATTTCCAAGTATCTACTTCGCATCCAAACCATTGCTGACAATCTGCTTTCAATTGGAGAACCAATTCGTCCAAGGATCATATCAATGTAATCCTTGAAGGCTTACCTGAAGAGTACGAATCTCTGACTTCATCCATATCTTCTCGTAGTATACTTGATCCACCAACCTTGTCTGAAGTTGAATCTATCTTATCTGCTAAAGAAACACGACTACTGAAACTTCGCGAATCATCTCAACAGAATTTATTATCTGCAAATGTTGCTCGCCTGGAAATCTCAACTTCGAATGCTCATTCTACTACTACAAACACCTCAGAAAATGCTTCTGCTCAAGTTGCTCAATTCAATAACACTGGAAATAACAACTCCTACAGAGGCAGAGGTCGTGGAGGCTTTACACGAGGGAGAGGAGGCAGATTTGGTGGACGCAATCCCATAATATGCCAAGTCTGTGGTAAAAATGGCCATCATGCACTTATTTGCTATCACAGATGCAATCCTTCCTATGCTGCTTCCAATTCCTCATCCCAAAACTTCCTGAATCCCTATTCAGCTCATCCTTCCTCACCAAATTCATATCCTCAGAGACTTCCTAATTATTCCACTCATTCACCAAACCTTACTGCCATAAACACTTCAGCACAACATTCCAACTGGGATCAACCATCAAATCAAACCTATCATCCTGGTTTCTCTCATCATCCTACTGCTGCCTGGGCCTCTGCCAACACATCTATTCTAGGGCCTCCTCCGCAACCTCAGCCTTGGTTCCCTGATTCTGGAGCTACTCACCATGTTACTGCAGATCCCTTGAACTTACAGCATAGTGAGCCTGTTACTACTACTGATAAGCTTTTTATGGGCAATAATCAAGGTTTGGACATCAAGTCTATGGGTTTTACTTCCTTTCCATCCCCTTATTAGTCTTCTATTTCTCTATCCCTCAAAAAAATCTTCATGTTCCTTCCATAACTAAAAATCTAAGCAGTGTCAGTTTGCTAAAGATAACAATTTCTATTTTGAGTTTTATCCTTATGATTGTTATGTGAAATCTCAGGTTTCTAATCAAGTATTGTTGCATGGCATTTTGGGAGAAGATGATCTGTATAGATTCCAGTCTTTTCCTGCTCTCAGTAACCAGTCTACTGCATCAAATAATCAACCTTCTGTCTCAACCTTCCAAAATGCTAAGTCCAGAGTTTTATTGTCTACATGTAATAATGCTAAATCTAGTTGTCCTTCTCAATCATGTAATCTTTGGCATCTAAGACTAGGCCATCCTCACTCTGAGGCTCTCAAAATTGTACTTCAACAATGTAATGTTCCTTTTTTTGGGTGAAATGTAAGTATATTAAAAAAATCACCCAAGGAAAAAGGGTTTAAAGAATGTACAAGTGTAAGAAACTACCAAAGCTAGTAAACTAACCTATGTAGCATCTACCAATTAACCCCCCCCCCCACCCCTACCTAGTGGCAGGGGTAGGGGAGGAGAATTTTTTTTCAAAAACAACAGTCCAAAAACTAGCTCGGGCCAGACCCCCGGCTTAGTAACAAAAGAAGGCAAAAATAATCAGCCCAAAAAAGCAGATCAGCATTCCATCCTCACGCTTAAACCCAAGCATCAGTCCCAGCAAAACAAAGCCTGCAGGCCAGTCCCTCAGCCCATCAAAGCTAGGGTTAAGCCCAAAACCAGCAGCGTTCCATCGCATAGGGTCAGCGCCGCATAGGAGCGTCCAACATGGGTCAACACACGTGCCGCTACAGTGAACGTCAGACGGCCAGTCCAATCAGAGGTCAGACAGCCGGCGTTGACTCCCCGGTCTTCGTCTCCGGCGACACAACCGGCCACCCCTCACAAAAAGCCAGAAAAATGATCACCTCAAAAACCATCTCAAAACCCACCCCCACCAGGCTCCGGCGTCATCCCGGCGGCATTGGTGGGTGAGTAGAAGCCAGCCGGAAAGAACCCTAAAAGCTAGCCCGTAATCCACCCTTCCACCTCCCTCCCCGTCAAGTTCCGGCAACCCTTAACGGCGTAGATGCGAAAATAGCAAGGTGGCGTGCCAACAGTAGCCAGAAAAATAGTAAAGGCTGGCGGTATCGCCGGCGAATCCAACCTTTACCTGAAGCAAAACTCACGTAATCCAACAACACCAAAAGAGTCACAAAAGGCTCTGTATTCGCACCAAAACCCCTGTCATCTTCTCCGGCGAAACAACCTCCAAATCAAAGCAAAGAATAAAGCCACAGACCCACACCATACCCCTCGCCAGAAATGATTCCCTTAAATCGTCCTGGAGCTCCCCTCAGACCCAAAACCTTCCCACAATCGTCACTCCCTACCCTCTCCGGAGGCAGCGCAGTGGTAATCAGTTTGTAATCAAGAAAAGCTCAAGCCCAACTCAGGAAAAAACTACCGGTTCAGAGCAATGCAACAGGTCAACGGGTCACAGCAGGTATGTCCGGAGGAGATTCAGGCCACAAAGCAGGTTGGGGAAGAAAGCCGGAATAGTACAAAGATACAGAGCTAACCTGGTTGACGAAACCCAAACCGGAGTTCAAGTTCATTGGAAGTAAACCACCGGAAACCACGTTCAAACCCAAGCAGCAGAGCTGGAACGGTCCTTCAAACTGCCGGGCCCCGATTCATCTTGGCAAGCCCCCCACTTCCTCAGAATACCAAGAGCCCACAACCGACCGGCGCGACGTCAAAGACCAAGGCGCTGCTTTCGCCGGAGAGTTTTCACTCCGGTTGCGACAGAAGAAGGCGGGGTCCCTCCAAAGCATAAACCAGTAGCAGAACTACCGGACCCAGGTCGGCCAGCATAAATCCGCGCTATAACGCTTCATCCCCCAAAACAGTTCTGTGACCACCATAGCTTCCGGCCAGCACCTTCGAAAACCCTTCACTGAAAAGAACCCATCCAGACCACCGGAGTGGAGGAGAAACAAACATCCAAACACACAGCTTGAGAACCGAAGACCCGCCGGAGCCAGGAGGGCCCCGGCGGCGGCGGCCACCGCAGGTGGTGGTGCCGACCTGGCGGGGAAGAATAGCCCGATTGGCTAGAGAGAGACTCTCTCAAACTTCCTCTCTCAGGCGCACAATGTAATGTTCCTTATATCAATAAAAGTGCAACTGATTTCTGTTCTGATTGTTGTATTGGTAAAGCACACAGACTGCCTTCTTACAGTTCTACAACTACTTATCAAAAACCTTTTGAACTAATCTTCACAGATCTCTGGGGACCAACTCCCATTCTCTCTTTTGATGGCTATTCATATTACATAGCATTTATAGATGCTTGTACAAAATACACCTGGATCTATTTTCTTAAAAGAAAATATGATGCTCTTCTAGCTTTTAATAATTTCTTTCAGTATGTGCTTAATATGTTTTCTATTTCAATCAAGTCAATTCAATCAGACTGGGGGGTGAATTCAGGTCCTTTACCAAACTACTTTCTGAAAAAGGCATCATTCACGGAGTCATTTGTCCACATACACACCATCAAAATGGTGTTGTGGAAAGAAAACATCGCACCATTGTAGAAAAAGGTCTCTCCTTTTTATCTCACTCTTCCCTACCCCTTAAATTCTGGGACACTGCTTTTGCAACTTCTGTGCATCTCATTAACAGAACACGTTCTAAATCAATTTCCAACTCTAGCCCATATTTCAAATTGTACAACTCCATTCCTGATTACTCCTTTCTAAAAGTGTTTGGTTGTGCTTGTTACCCTTTCAACAGACCATACAATAAACATAAACTCGACTTCCATTCAGAAGAATGTGTCTTTATAGGATATTCATCCACTCATAAAGGCTACAAGTGCTTGTCTCCTTCTGGCAAAATCTACATCTCTAGAGATGTTGTATTTCATGAGTCCAAATTTCCTTATCCTCTTC